CGGCACGGGCTGGCCATCGCCTCGCACAGCGTGTGCCTGACCCGGCTCCTGATGGCGGCCGCTTTCCCGGTGTGTTACCCGCTGGGCCGCCTGCTGGACTGGGCGCTGCGCCAGGAGATCAGCACTTTCTACACGAGGGAAAAGCTGCTGGAGACGCTGCGGGCCGCGGACCCCTACAACGACCTGGTGAAAGAGGAGCTCAACATCATTCAGGGCGCCCTGGAGCTGCGCACCAAGGTGGTGGAGGAGGTGCTGACCCCGCTGGGCGATTGCTTCATGCTGCGCTCCGACGCCGTGCTGGACTTCTCCACGGTGTCCGAGATCCTGCGCAGCGGCTACACTCGCATCCCCGTGTACGAGGGCGATCAGCGGCACAACATTGTGGACATTCTGTTTGTCAAGGACTTGGCCTTCGTGGACCCCGATGACTGCACCCCACTCCTCACTGTCACCCGCTTCTACAACCGGCCCCTGCACTGCGTCTTCAATGATACTCGGCTGGACACGGTGCTGGAGGAGTTTAAGAAGGGTGAGCAATGGTCTATCTCCTTTCTCAACTCCTACCACCTTCAGAAGTACTACCCTTTCATAAACATGAGGCTTCAGGCACCCACAGCACTTCTTCAGCGGTTCCAAAAGCTCAAGGGAGACCCCACCTCATGACACACGGGCCCTTCTCATTTCATTTCTCCCTACCTTCCGTGCAGATGACTGAGCTCCAAGTCTCTTCTCCTTGGCTTGGCTCACAAGATGCCCCATACTTCTCATTCATCTCATTCCAGTATTTTTTCAGGGCCTATCATTTGCCAGGTATTGTGCAGGATGGACTTTGGAAATAGTCCTTGGAGGTCATTGCTTATAGCCTCCCACTCATTCCTAGAGGAACCTTTACCAGTTCCCCTAGCAAGCAGCCTTTGTTTTAAACTCCTCCCAGGGCTGGGAGCTCACTATTTCCAGGGCAAACTCAATCCACTGCTGGACAGCTCCGCTGCTGACAGTGTCTTGCATTGGACTACAAATTTATTTCTCCTAAGCTGCTCTCTGGGTCCTAGTTATAGCCTTTGAATCACATAGAGTAAACCCCAAACACCTTAGACATTCTTCCCCCCTATTGAATTTTCCATCAGCTACTCACTCCGCATATCAAGTACCCACGTTGGAAATTAAAAATTGAGTAGGGCAATGAGGTCCTTGTACTTCTTGGAACTGTGGTTCCATGAGGTAGGATAGATCTGGACCTGAGGAAATAGTCTGGTAAAGGGAACCACTAGAAAACTTGCATAACGACATGAAAAGAAAACTTGTATGTTTACTTCAGAGTAGTCACCCCCACTCCTTAATGTCATGCTTATAACATGTTCACTGCATGTCTGGAGTTGGTCTTTGGTAACTGCCTTTTGGGGTTGAGTACAAATCACCCAAGAAACATCAGCCTGGGTACTTTGGTGCCAATCGTCTTGGCATTCCACAGTTTTGCTGCTCCTCCTAATTAGCTAGAGTTGACCCAGAAGGACCCTTTCTTGTTTTTCAAAATCAAATCCACCTTCAAGAGTCACCACTGAGAACATTCAGAAGATTATCTCACAGACCCTGAAAGCAATTCCAGAAATGATTTGAGAACAGTGACATAGTTAGAAAAAGGTAGAACCTTCTAGATCAGTGGGTCTCAACCTGTGGGTCGCGACCCCTTTGGCGGTCGAACGACCCTTTCACAGGAGTTGCCTAAGACCATCCTGCATATCAGATATTTACATTACGATTCATAACAGTAGCAACATTACAGTTATGAAGTAGCAACGAAAATAATTTTATGGTTGGGTCACAACATGAGGAACTGTATTTAAAGGGCCAGAAGGTTGAGAACCACTGTTCTAGATTCTAGAATGACTGTTTTGAAGGAGGCACTCATCTATACATATGAGTTGGCATGTTTATTACAAACTAAGCTAAAAAAAAAAATAATTCCCTGACTTTAGAATCAGGTTTCAAATGTAGCTTCCCTGTGACTAGCAGGAATCTCATTTGACTGTGTGTGTTTTAATTTGTTTGTCAAAAATTCAGTTTCATTGCCTTATCATCACAGATACTCTCTAGCACTTTGCATAGAGAGGTACCTGGGGTCTTCCTTCTGCTACCAAGGGGAAAAGAAGTCAAAAAGCTGTTTACTTTGTGTTGGTATCGTGAGAAGGGAGGAAGTGTGTGTGTATGTTTGTGTGTGTGTGTGTGTGTGTGTGTGTAGCAGCTGTTTTAGCCCAATTTAGGCTACTGTCTCACCTTCTTCTGTCTGTCTCCCCCCAGTTTTTTCATAATTCATTCCCACTGCACTCTGGGGTTCATCCATCCACTCAGAATTATTCTTCCACTTTGTGTGCCCTACAAAAGGGAGTGTGGATCTGGGCATAAAAGCTGTGAAAACCTGTATAAGTTTGTTAAGGATGTCATAACAAAATACCACACACTGGGGGGCTTAACAGAAATTTATTTTCTCACAGTTCTGGATGCTGGTAATCTAAGATCAAGGCTTGGTTTCCTCTGAGGCCTCTCTGCTTGGCTTGCAGATGGCCACCTTCTCACTGTGTTCTTATCCTTGGAGTCTCTCTCTGTGTTCTAATCTCTTTTTATAAGGATACCAGGCAGATTGTATTAGTACTCAGCCTATCAGCCTCAGTTTAACTTAGCCACTTCTTACATGTAATACTTAGGATAGAGTGCAGTTTAAGAGTGTCCCATTGTCATGTGCTTCAAGAAGACATTTTTAATGAAACTCCTGTGAACTTATTGACTCATTTATTTAGTATTTATTGAGTATCTACGTAGTGTTAAGCAATAGGGGAGACAGTAAGACTGCCCTCAGAAAGTTAGTCTACAAGGGCATGCAGTGTTAGAATGAGGACAGTCTTCAGAAGCAGGAATTGTGTCTTACGAACCTGCATATCCCTGGCACCTTGCACAGTGTCTTGCACAGTGTAGACTACTCAAAAAAGTTGCTATTGATCTGAAATGAGTCCTGTTGCGGGATTTCTACATCTGGTCTGAAAAGGGCTTGTTAGTGTTCTAGCAGTTAGTTTGCAAATTAGGTAGATCACAGAAGAGAAGCAGGCCATTACAGTGAACACCGCGCCAAGGAAGAAATGTCCACGTCCCTTCAGAGCCTTGCTCTTTCCTCAAAGTGTGGCCCATAAACCAGCAGCATGGACCTAGCCTGGGAGCTTCTGGAAAGTCAGAATTACATGCCCCACTCTAAATCCACAGCATAAAAGCCTGCATTTTAACGAGCCCTCAGCGGACTCATGTGTACATTAAAGTTTGAGAAGCATTGCCTTTGGAGAACCCTTATTAATGGTGATTGATAGATTTACTTAGGATAGACTAAATACAAGGAATAATTGTCAAGGTGGGTGTTCTGTGGCTCCAAGCTATAGAATACAGTGCTAATTTCTACAAGAGTGATGTTTGCACCATAGGTTAGGAGAGGAAAGCCGAGTTGGACTACTCTCTTTTTTTGAGTTTTAAAAATAACTTTTTAAGTCAGTCGTAAAAACCCTTCCATTTCCCTCACTTCTTGGCATCTCAAGTTACTTCACTACCTACACAAACCCCTTAGGAGATAGGAGAGGAAAATGATAATATTTTAATAGGAGCAACAGTTACCATTAATTGAGCGACAACTCTGCCAGGCACCATGCCAAGCCCTTTACATACTCAGAACAACCCTCCAGGGTTGGTATTATTAACTCCATTTTACAGATGAAGAAACTAAAGCTCAGGTTAATTATATGACTTGTTCAATTTCCCATAGCTAATAACTGACTGGACTGTGATTTGAACTCGGTCTATAGGGCCCCACAGCCTATTCTATGTCCCACTACCATCCCAGAACTCCTGCCCCCACAGGGTTCAAAGCGGCCATTTTAGCTCTGACTTGTTGCCTATGGCTGATTCACCTCTAGTTTCTGCAGGTGAGAAATGTAGCTTTTATAATAATTATTATTATTAACATGCATATTGCATTTGACAAAACATTTCTACCTACCTTTTCTTCTGTGATCTTAAAACAACTCTGCAGTTGTAACTGAGAACCCTAAAACGGCCTATGATCATCACTCAGCTTTTATACTCCGAGGCCCATATGCAAATCCAGTTCAGATGACTCTTTTTTTTTTATTGTTTAAGGTATTACCAATAGCAGTACATATGTCTCCCTCTTTCCCCCCATTGACCTCCTCCCCACAGAGCCTCCACTACCCTCCTCAGATGACTCTTTCTTATTCATATGGGATTTTACCTCTATAGTTCTGATGATCTGAAATGAGGTCTTTAGAAAATGGAGAAAGGGAAAATGGTCTTTCCAGCTAGCATGCTAGCTTTACAAAAGGGAACAATATTTCTCCCCAGTGGACTGTGAGTTCCTTGAGGTCAGAGAATGACTCTTATTTACTTTGTATTCTCAGGATAAGCACGGCAGTCACCATGGCTAGGGGATGAATACACATTTATTGAATAAGTGGTTTTAAATAGCTGACTTCTATATTGCTGTGTTTGAGTGAGGTAAACCCTGAGTCCAGAAAAATTAGTGTTGTTTGTTCCATTAACCACAACCAATCTTTCCTCTTCCTCTTGCTGGGTTCTTTACCTCAATTACTGGCACCACTGTCCCTCTAGTCTTCCAGGCTTACAAACCTCTCCTTCACCACCCACCTTCATCCTACTAATCACTGTCTTGTCTGCTCCAGCTTCCATAACAAATCATCATACACTGGGTGGCTCAAACAACAGAAATTTATTTTTTTCACAGTTCTGTAGGCTAGAAGTCCAAGATCACAGTTCAAGCTGATTTGTTTTCTGATAAAAGCCTCTTCCTGTTTACAGAGGGCCACCTTCTCACTAGTCCTCACATGACCTTTCCTGAGTGCATGCTCAGGCAGAGAGAGGGAGAGAGAGCAAG